TAAACAAGTAGTAATGACTAAACTTTGATGTTTTTACTTTTTTTAACAAACATTAAAAACGAGGTTAAAACATGAAAGTTATAAAATATAAAACTAAGAAATGAAAACAAGATTTTATTTTGGTGATTTCATGTGTGAAACGTCTCCTAAAGGCTCATATTTGACTCTAAGACCTAAAAACAGTTAATAATAGATAAGCTGTTAAAATAAATAAATGTAAATAGAAACCAGTCAAACCAGTGATGAGCTCACTGACCCGTCGGTCCTGATTCTGTGCAGATGCGGTTCTACCGGGCCAGCCAGGCCGTCATGGACAAGGCCTCCATGCTCTACAACCGCTTCAAGAACACCTTCCTGGTGGGGGAGGGCGAGGAGGTGGTGAGCGCCGCCTTCCTGCGCTCGCTGCTGGAGCAGAAGGAGAGGGAGGAGCAGGAGCGGGCGGAGCTCTGGAGGAGAACATTTCTGAAGGAGGCGGGGCCAGACTGCTCGGAAGGAGGCGAGGCGGCAAACGACGGTGAGTCAGCATGTTCACGGCAGCACTAATCACCCATTATTTATTTCAAACAGTTTAAAATAAAAATTATTCCTGACAAACTTATGAAACAGGATTACCTTTAATTATGTTTGCTCACTTCTTTACAAGTAATCTGCCTTACATAAGYTATGTAAACAAAAAGTCAAACAATAACTGAACGTTGTTAATGTAGAGAAAAACAAATGAAATGGTTGTAAATGAAACTTTAAAGTTTAAAATGTGATTAAAGACGACAGAGGAAATAAATAAAACTAACAACAGGAAACAGTCAACACAGAATCAAACTGTTGATGTTTCCTAACTGATGGGTTTTCTCTCACCTGCAGAATCCTCCTGAAGCTGTGTGGACACAACCATGTCTCACCTGTACACCTGTTCACATCAACAGTGTGGTTTTATCCCCGGACTGGTCCGGTCCGTTTGCTTATCGGCCTTCGTCCTCTCTTYATTCATCAAACTCACACAGCATTAACCTGTGTTCTTCATGAAGACAACACAGATGTGTCACTACTTGTTTTCTCTTATTTTAAATGTTTATGTACTACTTGTGTAAAACCCCATTCTGATGCTTTAATTCATGTGTTTCAGGTTCAGAGTTGAAGGGGCTGATGGGAAATGTAGTTTGTTGTTTTTCATCAAACAAGGACTTTTTGAGCCTAAAGTTCAGAGAGCTGATAAACCTGTTCAGCGTTTTTGTAAAATTTGTACAGAAAGATTTTATTGTCTCAAACTTTGATGTTTTTACTTTTTTTCTTCCTGTTGCTGTATTATAAATCTTGTTTTTACTCCATTTCATAAACAAAAGTGAGTTCCCAACCTTCAGAGGTGTTTAGTGTCATTATTTAACAAAAACGTCATCGTAGGATGAGGAGCAGCA